GTTAAAGCGGGTGGGATATAGTGTTGGAGTGGTTGGTATTGCTGTTTAATAAATGTATAAAAGAGGGGAAGGTACCTAGGGATTGGCGGAGAGCATGTATAGTCCCTTTATATAAAGGGAAGGAGGACAAAATGGATTGTAAAAATTATATAGGAAGAAGTTTACTGAGCATACCAGGAAAAGTGTACGGTAGGGTTATACTAATTGAAAGAATTAGAGGTAAGACAGAATGTAGGATTGCAGATGAGCAAGGAGGTTTCAGAGTGGGTAGGGGATGTGTAGATCAAGTGTTTACATTGAAACATATATGTGAACAGTATTTAGATAAAGGTAGGGAAGTTTTTATTGCATTTATGGATTTAGAAAAGGCATATGATAGAGCGGATAGGGGAGCAATGTGGCAGATGTTGCAAGTATATGGAATAGGTGGTAAGTTACTAAATGCTGTAAAGAGTTTTTATGAGGATAGTGAGGCTCAGGTTAGGGTGTGTAGAAGAGAGGGAGAATACTTCCCGGTAAAAGTAGGTCTTAGACAGGGATGTGTAATGTCACCATGGTTGTTTAATATATTTATAGATGGGGTTGTAAAACAAGTAAATGCTAGGGTGTTCGGGAGAGGGGTGGGATTAAACTATGGGGAATCAAATACAAAATGGGAATTGACACAGTTACTTTTTGCTGATGATACTGTGCTTATGGGAGATTCTAAAGAAAAATTGCAAAGGTTAGTAGATGAGTTTGGGAGTGTGTGTAAAGGTAGAAAGTTGAAAGTAAACACAGAAAAGAGTAAGGTGATGAGGGTATCAAATGATTTAGATAAAGAAAAATTGGATATCAAATTGGGGAGGAGGAGTATGGAAGAAGTGAATGTTTTCAGATACTTGGGAGTTGACGTGTCGGTGGATGGATTTATGAAGGATGAGGTTAATCGTAGAATTGATGAGGGAAAAAAGGCGAGTGGTGCGTTGAGGTACATGTGGAGTCAAAAAACGTTATCTATGGAGGCAAAGAAGGGAATGTATGAAAGTATAGTAGTACCAACACTCTTATATGGGTGTGAAGCTTGGGTTGTGAATGCAGCAGCGAGGAGGCGGTTGGAGGCATTGGAGATGTCCTGTCTAAGGGCAATGTGTGGTGTAAATATTATGCAGAAAATTCGGAGTGTGGAAATTAGGAGAAGGTGTGGAGTTAATAAAAGTATTAGTCAGAGTTGAAGAGGGGTTGTTGAGGTGGTTTGGTCATTTAGAGAGAATGGATCAAAGTAGAATGACATGGAGAGCATTTAAATCTGTAGGAGAAGGAAGGCAGGGTAGGGGTCGTCCTCGAAAAGGTTGGAAGGAAGGGGTAAGGGAAGTTTTGTGGGCGAGGGGCTTGGACTTCCAGCAGGCGTGCATGAGCGTGTTCGATAGGAGTGAATGGAGACGAATGGTATTTGGGACCTGACGATCTGTTGGAGTGTGAGCAAGGTAATATTTAGTGAAGGGATTCAGGGAAACCGGTTATTTTTATATAGCCGGACTTGAGTCCTGGAAATGGGAAGTACAATGCCTGCACTCTAAAGGAGGGGTTTCGGGATATTAGCAGTTTGGAGGGATATGTTGTGTATCTTTATACGTATATGCTTCTAAGCTGTTGTGTTCTGAGCACCTCTGCAAAAACAGTGATTATGTGTGGGTGAGGTGAAAGTGTTGAATGATGATGAAAGTATTTTCTTTTTGGGGATTTTTTCTTTCTTTTTGGGTCACCCTGCCTCGGTGGGAGATGACCGACTTGTTGAAAAAAAAAAAAAAATGGGCAGGCAATCTGAAAATCATTGAATTATAGTATGAGAAGCCAAAAGTATGGCCAAAGACGTGTGGAGGTTGGATGCATCACAATTCAGGCAGAACCCTGGTACCAGAGGTAGGCAATGAAATGTTACCTGCAGAAGGTACTGGGGGTGTTAGAGTGGTCCAAAGAATGGCCTAATAACCAGGCAGGGTTGTGAGAGGACACTGCAGGAGAAAGGGGTCTGGGAGGAGGAATTTCAAGGCCATGGGGCTTCATGGTAAAGTTTCTCCCCCCCCCCAGAAAGAGAGGGGTATGTAGAAGGACAGCTTCTAGGAGGGATGAAAGGGATTGTATATTCCCCTCCACACCCAAGTGGTTCCTCAGCATGGCTGGTGGTGCAGAAGCAGCATGGAACTCATGTCCTACCCTACTCTTCAAACTGGTAAACCAAGGCATACCTCCTTCGGCCATCACCTCCTGGAACCTCCAGGCAGCCTCCAAAGATACACCCGTCACCAAAAGCCACCCCCTGGGACTCCAGGGGAAGATAAGGACATCCCCAGATGATCCATGACAAAGACCACCACCACCTTGGACCTCAACAGAATGGGACAGACAACAACCACCTCACCTCCAACCCAGGAGCTAGAATTTCAGAGGGAATGACCCCAAAGTCCAAAAGCAAGAAAAGGATGAGAGGGAAGGGATGGGAAGGAAGGGATGGGAAGGAAGGGATGGGAAGGAAGGGGTAGAGAAGGGAGGAAGAGAGGATATTTATGTTCGGTCAGAGGAAGAAGACTGAAAGGTCCAATTCCCCAGATCAAAAGCCTCTTCACCACATCAAGGAGCCCCTCTTTGAAGAGGCAGTATGCAGTAGATACAATAATACAGTAAGTAGTACGTATATACAATAATACAGTAAGCAGGAGATACAGTCACATCATAAAATAATACAACACATACAATATGTGGTGTAAATATTATGCAGAAAATTCGGAGTGTGGAAATTAAGAGAAGGTGTGGAGTTAATAAAAGTATTAGTCAGAGAGTTGAAGAGGGGTTGTTGAGGTGGTTTAGTCATTTAGAGAGAATGGATAAAAGTAGAATGACATGGAGAGCATTTAAATCTGTAGGGGAAGGAAGGCAGGGTAGGGGTCGTCCTCGAAAAGGTTGGAAGGAAGGGGTAAGGGAGGTTTTGTGGGCGAGGGGCTTGGACTTCCAGCAGGCGTGCATGAGCGTGTTTGATAGGAGTGAATGGAGACGAATGGTATTTGGGACCTGACGATCTGTTGGAGTGTGAGCAGGGTAATATTTAGTGAAGGGATTCAGGGAAACTGGTTATTTTTATATAGCCGGACTCGAGTCCTGGAAATGGGAAGTACAATGCCTGCACTCTAAAGGAGGGGTTTCGGGATATTAGCAGTTTGGAGGGATATGTTTTGTATTTTTATACGTATATACTTCTAAACTGTTGTGTTCTGAGCACCTCTGCAAAAACAGTGATTATGTATGAGTGAGGTGAAAGTGTTGAATGATGATGAAAGTATTTTCTTTCTGGGGATTTTCTTTCTTTTTGGGTCACCCTGCCTCGATGGGAGACCGCCGACTTGTTAAAAAAAAAAAATACAATATTGGGGAAATGTACTACAATTCATTTACAAAAATTAAATTTATTTACAGTTTTACACTTATATATGTAAATCTAGACACTGGAACACCAGCTTTATTATTTTTATTAACTTATCACTTTATTGCTACAGTTTATGATAGATTTATTATAAAAAACCACTAAGTTAAATTTTGTTTTATGCAAATATTTGATAACAAGTCATAAACCCACATACATGTCCACGTGTGTGCACACGAACACACACACACATCACATACAGGCGAGTACACATACACCAGTGCTCATATTGCAAGCACCTGATAAAGTATTGAAGACAACGTGAAAGGCCCTGAGCAACTACCTAACCCCTGCTTATGGCCTTTTAGCTGCTTATTGATCACATTTACTACTATTAATTCAATCGCCATGTTTCAGAAAATGTGGCGACATCACAGTCATTCAAGGTGTGGCGACTCAATAACTGTCAGCATGACACGTGGTCAACAGTGCTAACCATCATGACAGGTGGTCAATGTGCCAACTATCATAACAGGTGGCCAGGAGTGCCAACCATCTTCATAACAGGTGGTCAGCAGTGCCAACCATCATGACAGGTGGTCAGCAGTGCCTGGCTCACGTGCTGGAGTCAGGTCTGGACTGCGTTTTCTTAGCAGCCTCAGCATCACACTCCAGCTCCAGGTCTATTCTCTCTCTGGCACGGACAACCTGTGGCGGTAAGTTAAGAGTTGATAATAATGTATGTCTATTATTGCACAATCATAATCAGACTAATAATAATAATAGTAATCTATCTTAAGTTCTACGTACAGAATAATTTTTTCTAAATGTGACTGAAAAAGTTCATCTAATATTGAAGAGTAAGTGGAAAGGCTTTCATAGTTGTTCTTTCAATCTCCTGTATACAGTTGCACTGTACAGAGGTGGTTTAAAAGAGAGTGTACTATAACACAGCTGATATCTCTGTCTGCCTCATAAACAAGGTGGCAGGTACATCCTGCGCCTACTTGTATTTACATCCTGATTATACTACACATACAAATGTGCATGTATACGTATACACACTCATCTCACTTGTATTGTAATCTCTTACTAGTTCTTCTTATAGTGTTTTATCTCTGTGGGGAAGCGGATGAGAATCCTTCCTGTGTAAGTCACGAGTGTCATAAGAGGCAACTAAAATGCCGGGAGCAAGGAGCTAGCGACAACTTCAACTGTACTGATTACTAAAGAAAAAAGGAAATGTTAAGTTGTTTGAATGTATTTATGTAGATGTAAGACACAGTTTTCCTAGGCTTAGGCCTGAGAGTGTGTGTCTGGAAGACTCTACAAACATCAGAGGTATGTAATTGTCTGTCCGATGCCCATCCACTTATTCAGTTAGTCTCTCACTGTTGAATGTGATTGTTTATGTTATGATGGAAAAACAACGTCGTAGCTTTAACTTAAACAAAGCTAAAGGGGGAGTGAGACAGTTTGAGTGAGGAGAAATAAAGGATGTTAAATGTGGTGTGAGAGAACTAGAAGTAAAGAACAGATAGTGGAAATAATAAATGATCAACTATGGGTGGAGAAGAAGGGAGCGTGAGTGACTAGTCATTGATTATCATAAGAGTGGGATGTGAGAAGTGGGTTATACTAAATGTTGATGCACCTGGAGAATAGAGGAGTGTAGAGGGATTAGGGGAGATGTTAAGTTAATGTTTAGGGAATGTTGAACCAAGTGAATGTAATTGTTATGGGAGATCTGAATGTTAAAGTGGGAGTGTGTGTTGTAGAGGGCATGGTAGGTAAGTTTGGGGTGCCAAGGGAAATTATAATGGAGACCTTTAATTGAGCTTTGTACAGAAAGAAGTTTAGTAACAGATATTTTAAGAAAAAGAGGATAAATAAGTACACAAGATATGATATTGGGAGTAATGACAAGTTTGTTGGACTATGTATTAGTAGATAAAAGGTTGATAGGTAGACTTCTGCATTTGCATATACATAGAGGGACAACAGATATATGAGATCATTATTTAGTTGTAGCTACACTGAGAGTAAGAGACAGATGGGTACAAGGAGAATGTCAACAGTAAGACAAATGAAAGTTTATAAACTAAGCTTTAAGCTGGCTACATACATCAAAATGGCAGAGAATCTTTTTCCAAAGTCAATAACACCAAAAATGCAAAATTTGATATAATGCTTACTGAATTATGCAGCCATGAAGGTGGAGGTTGGGGAGCCCGTTATGTAACTTGACCCAATTTGAGGCTTATTTTGGCAAACTTCCAATGCTCAGACCAATCCACTTTGACTATTACAGTTGTATGCCTACTGTACTATTACAGTCGTATGTCTACTTTACTATTACAATACTGTGCCTACTATATTAACCCCCTGACTGTCGCAACCCCAAATCCTGAGGTGTCTCCTGGTGTCGCAAAATCCCCCCCCCCCCAAAAAAAAATTTCCTTTGAAATGACAGAGAATCTTTTCCCAATTGTAATGACACCAAAAGAATGAAATTTGATGGAAAACTGACGGAATTATGCTCTCAAAGTTAGCGACCTCGGCGATATTTACGAATTGGCGATTTCGCCCACTTTGAGCCCTATTTTTGACTAATTCCGTTGTTCCACTCGACCAAACTCATAGCTATTTCTTTAGAACTCCATTTTTTTCTATCGGTTGAATACAAGAAACTGCCTACTTACCGATTTCAACTACCCAATAACGTGGTCAGAAATTTGCAATTTGGCCAATTTCACGAAAATTAAAAAATGACAATTTCAAAATAGAGTCCAGAATGAACAATGCAGCTTTCTCCTGCTTGATTTGAAGCCGCTAAAATTTATGAGTATATATACGTCAAAAACGGTGGCTCGTAAGATGTATATATACGACCAAAACAGTCAAAGGGTTAATGACTGAGTGCATTATTATTATGAGGAGTGCTAAATGCATAAGGATTATAGTGCCTGTAGGGGGGGATGATGGAAGGCATTCAGGTTTAACCCTTTGACTGTCGCAAGCCCCTTTCTGAAACTCATTCTACGTCGATAAATTTTTGGAAAAAACAAAAAAAAAAATTCTTATGAAATGATAGAGAATTTTTTCCCGATGGTAATGACACCAAAAGTACGAAATTTAGTCGAAAACTCACGGAATTACGCTTCCGCAAAATTAACGGTCTCGGCGACATATACACATTGGCGATTTCACCGAATTTGAGCCCTGTTTTTGACCAATTCTGTTGTTCCAGTTGACCAAACTCATAGCTATTTCTTTAGAACTCCATTTTTTCTATCAGTTGAGTACAAGAAACCGCCCATTTACCTATTTGAACTACCCAATAAAGTGGTCAGAAATTGGCAATTTGGCCAATTTCACGCAAATTAAAAAAGATGCCAATTTCAAAATAGGGTCCAGAATAAACAATGTAGACATTCTTGGCACTAAAATAACATATCCTCTGTTCATTAGTCACATCTCTAGGCCCCTCTTATATTGCTATTGCTTTCTATTTTGATTTTTTATTCATACAAAAAAATACAAAATTTACTGTTATGCAGACTACTGCATTATTGTAATAATGGTATAAATAATATCAGTGCACTAGTGAAAGAATATTAGACTCCCCAGCTGATGTGTATTGGACATGTGGTGTGATTTGCTTACTCCTGAACATTGGTAAAAATCGAACATTTCTGCTACTTTGAGCTCAATTTCAAGGTCGTTTTCATCGTGAAAGTAATCAAAATCATCTCTACTTCTGTAATATTTTTTCCATTTTATCACCTGAGACCATGAAAACGAGAATACAACAATAAATACTATACGAAAATACACCTCAAATTTGGCATTTTAATCCCCCACAAAAAAACGGTCATTTTTTTTTCTCATTACGCACTGCAGGATTTTTTTTTATGTGGTGCACACTGACCACACAGACCCATTCTCTCACATGTGGGCCTACCAACTTTCTCCTGCTTGATTTGAAGCCGCTAGAATTTACGCGTATAAATACGTCAGAAACAGTGGCGCGTAAGACGTATATATACGACCGAAACAGTCAAAGGGTTAATTTAGGGAACTGGAACACAAATCCAATTTCCTAGATCAAGAGCCCCTCGCCAGCATCAAGGAACCTTCCTGGAGGGAATAACTGAATGCAAGAAACTGCCCATTCACCTATCACAACTACTATATGAAGTACCCAGAAGTCATTAATTTGGCCAATTTTACACTATTTTCAACAAATTCCTATTTAAAAACAGTCCACAACATCACAGAGATACAAACAAGTATAAACTCAAGGTTGGGGATGTTCAGTAATTTTAACTTCAACAACCACAGAACTGACTGGGACAAAATTAACTAAGAACTATCAGAAATATCCTGGGACACAGTCATGAACACCATAAATCCTCACCAGTGTCTGGAGAAGCTGAGCACAGAAGCATACAAAGTCTGTATTATGTACCATTGAGGAAGATCAGACAGAAGATCAGATAGAGTGTGTAGGAGATGGCACAAAAGAAGAAAACAGGTTAATGAATTGCTTAATAACATAAATATGTCACAATGAAGGTAAGATAGAATTAGCCGAGAGATCACCGATTTACAACAAAAACTTAGGATGTCATGCCAAACAAAAGAAGCTTAAAGGGATCAAAAGAACATTCACGATATTGCAAGGAACCACAAATATTATTATTCATATGCAAAATACAAGCTAAGAACTACCTATAGAATTGGACCATTAATGAGAGAAGACTCATACTGACGATGAACAGAAAAAGAACAGTACGAGTCAGTGTTCCTCACCCCACTAACTGACAGCAAGGTAGACAGTGAAAAAAACTTTTTGTCACTCCAGCAGAAGGCCGCACAGACCAACTAATTGACAGTACTCATCGGAGAATTCAAAAAAGAAACTGAAAACATGCCTGCTTACTCAGCTCTTGGACCAGATTCATGGAATTCCTTATTTATTAAAAAGTGTAAAGCGCCACTAGCATGAGCCCTCAGTAATCTCTGGAGAAAGAACCTGAATCTAAGTGAAGATACTGAAAAATTTCAGGAAGATATAAGAAATGTTTTCCAGTGGGAAGTGGAGAACAACATGATGTTCAATAGTGTTAAGTTTTAACTCCTTTGGTGTGGAAAGAATGAAGAACTTAAAAGGAACACTGTATACAAAACTCAAGAGAACATCAAACAGAACAAAAGGAACACATGAAAGACCTGGGAGTAATTATGTCAGCTGACCTTTCTTTCAAAGAATATAATAATTATGACAACAGTTATGACAGCCAGGAGGATGAGGGGAGGGGAGGGTGGATAATGAGAACTATCGAAACAAGAGAATGCCAATGGTGACACTTTTCAAATCGCTAGTACTCCCTCATTTGGAATATTGTTTGGTGTTGATGACCCTGTTCAGGCCAGGAGAAATACTGGAGCTGGAAGAGATAGAGATCGTTTATGGCATTTAGATCACTAAGAATACTGTAAAGTCCTAAATATGTACTCACTAAAGTGGAGGAGAGAGAGAGAGGGAGAGAGAGGTTTTCTCCTTGACTGTAGTCTTAAATTTCAAGTCCCATACCCATCACATAGCCAAGAAAATTTCCATATCAGCAGGAATCCTTTCCAAGATACGATACTATGTACCGCAAATGACTCTCCTTACCCTGTGCCACTCTCTAATATATCCT